TTTTGTCCCACCTCATGCCCACCTTGTAAATTTCCATTGGGTCTTATAGTTTTGTCCCACTTTGTACCTGCCTCACCACATGGCTGTGCTGTATAAAACAACTTTGAAAAGTGAGGTGAGCAGGTAACCCACCTTCCGGTCCCCCTTCTGTCCCTCTTACGCAGAAGCTTTCTTTCTCCCAATAGATTTTTCCTACTCTTAAAAAAAAAAAGGCTAGAAAGATAATGAAACTCTTCAGAGCCCTGTAGAGGCACAGAATAGAAGAAGGAATCTTGAGATGCATTTTAAAGTGCCTTTCCTAAAGGGACTAAATCCTTTTGGGTATAATTCATTTCAATGGCTCTCCACTGGAGGTTTTTAAGAATTCCTCCTCCGAGGTTAGAAACAAATTGAAATGCTTCAAAACAAACCCAGGGCATCTCAGCCTTGCTCCTGTGACTAAAGAAGTTGCCCCCATCCCACCCCAAACCTCTGAGATACCTGGAAGACCTCCTGCCTCCCTCAGAAGCCTTCTCCTACCCAACCAGGGCTCTGGCACCCCTCCATTCACCATTTCAATGACCAAAGGCAAGTTTGCTTTCTAAGCCTTAGTTCCCCAACCTGTGAACTGAGAAACAGTCCCTGTGATAAGACTTAAATGTATTCGGAGTAGTGCCTGGCACAGGGCATTTAATAAATGCTATTTCTTTGAACCACTGCCTACCCTCAGGGCCAGCCAGGTGGTACTCATTAGACATTTTCTCCAGTAAGTATACCTACAGAAAAGCCCCATGTTATGGTTTGGGTCTAGATGTTCCCCCAAAGCCTCATGTGCATTCTGGTTAGATTCATCACTTGCACTGCTATAGCCTTATTCAAGTGATACTTTTCTACAAAATTTTGCACTGTATCCCACATTTTACACATCTCCCTAATTTCATCTGAAGTGAGAGATTCCTCTACCTTTTTCTCCTCCTCTGCAGATGAAATCTCCTCCATAGCCTCTTGCTGGTGGGAAACAATCACCCACAATCCCACAGGGGGAGGGGGGGACACCACTGGCTCAATTGTGATCACGTGACATTTGACATTATGTACTACTCATATTGCAAGATATCACTTGTTTATCAAGTTAAAAATTATTAGAAATGTTTACTCATCTTGCGGAACACTCACAGAGCAAGTTACCTGCAATCCAAGGTTTTATTGTACCATGAAATAGTTTCGTAAGAATGACATAAACTTACAGGTTTGTTTGTTTATTTGGGTACTGAGACTTGAACCCCTTCAGGGCCTTCACACTGAGCTGCATTCCCAGGGTCTTGCTTAGTTCCAGTCCTCTCCCCTTGACCTCCCAAAGTGCTAGGAATACAGGCCTGGACCACGAGCACCAGGCCCAGCTAAACTTATCCTCTTAGAAAACACAAGCAATAAAGCAAAGTAAAAACATTCCCAAAGAGCTTAAAGATGTTGGGTACCTGGTAAGACTGTAACAACAGCACACTGATAACAAATTAGACATTTTAAACATAACCTTTATTTTAAACTTAAAGAAATGTTAAAAATAAACATTTTGCTTTACAAATTATAATCAAGCACTTAAAACAATTTAGGAAAACATTTTAAATTCAAAATAATGACATCCATAGAATACATTCTAATGTTGGCCAAAATAAAGTTTACTTACCACTACTTTTTTATATGCTTATATGATTACTCAATGATTACAATGATTCAATATGTAAGGTTAAGCAAGTCTTTTACATAATATCTCGGATAACTTTTTCAAATACAAAACATTTATACCAGCAAAGAAATTATAAAAGAAAAAGTACTTCAGTTATACTGAAGGACTTGATTTGAAGGCTGGTGAGGGGGTGGGTATTTTTGGTACCAGGGATCAAACTGGAGACCTTGCGCTTGCAAGCCAGGCAGTGGAGCCACTGAGCTAAAGCCCTGGCCTTGAAGGCTGTTTATATATAGACAGAAGTGTTTCACCTTATAAAATACATACACAGTCACAAATTTAACCGAATATAGATCCCATCCATTCTTAGTTATGTTACACAGCCAACTACACATTCATAAATGTCACTCTATTATCCATCAACTGAAAAAATATATGTATATTTTTTAAAAGCCTTTGAAGACATGTGGGGGTGGAATGTGCCCAGTTTCAGAACAGTGCTTTCACAGGACACCTCTGTCCAGCCAGCTACCGGGGACCAGTGATCTGCTCCTACCCTCAGAAAGACAGGATGGTCTTGTTAATGATTTCCACAGCCTCCTGGATCTCATCCTCCTTGATTACAAGTGGAGGTGCCAACCTGATGATATGGCCATGGGTGGGCTTAGCCAGAAGCCCATTATCTCGAAGCCGCAGACACACCTTCCAGGCATTATAATCTATAGAAAAATGGGCATACATGTGTGATCATTAAAGATTAATGTTTAAACATCCCCTTGCCATATGCATGGACCAAGCGCGAACTTGCAAAATTAGACCATTCCCAAGACCTGCTCAAGCAAGGAAGCTCTGAGCTGCAAAGTAGTTTTTTTTTTTTAGGGCTAATGAATAACACAGGGCCTTAGTCATGCTAGGCAAGCACTCCCACTGAGCTACATCAGCCTTGTTCTATTTCTTTAAAATGAAGTTAATCCTGACTTTTCACCAAGCTTATATGTAACTAGGTTTGAATGGCACATTTAGATTTAGTCATGTTTTTTGTTTTTTCATAAATGAAAGACCAAGCAAAAAACACACCTGTGTTACGGGCTAAGTGTCCCTTATCCAAACTGCTCAGGACCAAAAGTGTTCTGGACATAGGAATACATCATATACATAATGAGATATACTGGGGAGGTTTAAACACTAAACTGGTTTATGTTTCATACACCTTATAGCCTAAATTGCAATTTCATACAATATTTTTTGTCAACTGCATTTTCACTGTGACCTGTCACACAAAGCCTAGTGTGGAATTCCCCATTTCTGATGTTGTGTTGGTGCTAAAAAAGTTACAGATTTTGGAAAATTTCAGATTTCTCAGTCTAGGGATACTTACCTGCTAATTACATAAGGAACTAATATTAACACAACTAATGCAAAAGAACTTGGGTAGGGCAAAGAAAACTGGCACAGAATAAGCAATATCCAAAACCCAAATATAGTGAAACTACACATTCCTAAAATGGATATGCTTCCCGAGCTTGTGGAACTTGCACTGGTTCTCAACCCCTGGCACACATAGGAATCACCAAATCAGCCACTTCAGTGTCTGCACCTCACCCTAAACCACCAAATCAGAATCTCTGGGGTGAGGTTAGGCTTTGATTCTTTTTCAGAAAGCTCCCAAAGTGATTCTAAAGTGCAGCCAAGGCTGGAATCACTGCTTTAAAAGCAAGAGTTATCACAAGAAAAGTCTGGAAAGGAGCCCTTGAGGGTGATAAATGACGCAATGAAACATCAACCCCCCCACTAAGTGGCAGCATTATTTTTACTACCAACACCATCATCGTTATTCCTATTATTTCTACGGCTCCTATAACCTCGGCTGAGGTATGAAGGATTTGAGTGAGGGAGCAGGAGAGGATAGCAAAGAAACTCCCAAGGACAGTGTTTGGTCCAGACAAAGAGAAAATAACTCAGCCCTCCAAGCACTGCATGACTAATTAAAGGCAGAAAAACAAATGTCTCAGAAGAACAAAAACAGGTTAAACTGGTTACATGTGGTATCGTGTTGGAATGAGTTATATTTTCAGTATCACTAATACAATTATGAATCAGAAAATACTCTGTCGAAAAGACCGGCCAGTCAATAATTTCAAACAGAGGGACACTCCCCACCACCACCACTGGTCAAAGTATTGAAAGAACTCTTGGCGCTCTCTTTCACCTTCAGGTAAAATGTGTTATCTACATACCTCTGGTTTCTCTAATAACAATAGCATTTAACAATCCTTTTCCTCTTACAGCAGTTACAACGTCAGAGGGCAGCTTCATGAGTTCATTTCTCAAGATAGTACCCATTTTCTCTGCATTTGCAGCAAGGTTTTCTTCTTCCAAAACCTATGTTTTAAAAAAAAATTACACACATGTTTAGATTGTCCTTTTTTAGTTGTTCTTTGGAAGGCAACACACACTAACACAAAGGAAAATATGGTTAAAGATCAGAGTAATTTAACTTTCATTTGTTTCACAAAGCCTGTATTAGTTTAATCTCTACTTAAACAGACCCACCATCTCAGAGCCTTGCTTAGTCAGAAATCTACTGCCAATCTGTCTTCATGGCAAAATAGGAATTAAAATTTGTTTAACACATTTTATGATAAACTATCATCTGACCATATCAATGAACTAAATATAATTTAAATTTTAAACTTCTTTTTTTCTCTAAAATGTCCATCTGCAGATTACATAATTTTAACCCTTAAATCTAAAAGCATTCAATGTCTATTTATTTAGTATATTTAAATTTTATATATCTACTTTTTTTTTTTTTTTTTGCAGCACTGGGGGTCAAGTCAGGACTTTGTTCATGTCAGGCAAGCACTCCACCACTGAGCTAACATTCCCAGGCCCCTAGTTTTTTTTGTTATTTTCGTTTTGAGACAAGGTCTCATTAAATTGCCCAGATTGGCCTCCAAACTTGTAATCCTCCTGCCATAGCCTCCCAATTACAGACAGGCACCCATACACCCTTCTTATTACTTTTATTTTTGTGTGGTGTTGGCGATCATGCCTAGGACCCCAGGCAAATAAGCACTCACTCTACCTCTAAGCCAGACCCCAGGGTCAGGCATAATGGCTCTAAGGCCCAGGTGACTGCAAACTCAGGAGGCCCAGGGAAACAGGTTAAGTGTCTTTTTGAAAAATTCCTTGTCCTTAAAATCTTGCCTCTGTACATCACTTTCTCTTATACTCACTTTCACTTATACTCAGCAATCTTACTAAATTTCTTATTACAAGCTCAAATTTAAAATCAGCTCAACATTACTTAAAGAAGTAGATACTGTTAGCCTGTATCAATTCTTTTACCTCAAGGGCTGCCATAGACACGCGACAGCTCAGTGGGTTGCCACCATATGTTGACCCATGTTCCCCTGGTTTAATGGTCAGCATTATGTCATCATCACAAAGCACCGCGGACACCTGAAATAGTTTTCCATATTGTTTCTCAGACTAAGTATTCTTATTCTTAGCACATTAGAAACATAAATATTTATATAATCCTGATATTAAATCTATATAAAACTTCAACAAACATCACCTTAACTACTGGTAATAACCACAGTAATACCCTAACATAACAGGTATATTAGGCACACTTCAATGAAATAGAACAATACAATTTTGCAATTTCTGAATAATCTAATTTGTAATCCTTTCCAATTTAAAGGTGAAATGCTTTCCCTAACTGCTTAGAAAACAAAATTGAGTATCCTCTTCAACAAGATGGTTTAGGCTATTCAGCAGAAGCATCCATCCTTCAGACCCCTTTAATCCAGCTCCAATTACTGACTCTGGCTAGCAAACCCAAGATAAGAACCTATGCTCAATCAGTCATAGCTTTAAACAATTAGGAATCGATACAGGCATTTACAGCAGTACTTTACAGCTATGATGTTTCAATTCTAATCAAATGCCACAGCAAATTCCAAAGCATACTCCATTTTTCCATCAAAATTAATTAAGTGGGTCACATAACTGAAACCTTAAATATTTTTACCGTAGCTATTCCGGGTGGTCAAAGTACATCTGGTAAAAACCAAACCATGTGAAAGACATTCTTGTTACAATCACTGAGTGTAAAATATTTTAGAGGTATGTTTCAGGATAGCTGGGAATGGAAAGAAGGCTAAACACTAAACTTACAGGGTATAAGCCTCCAGAAAGGGCCTTTCCAAGAAGAACTATGTCAGGTCTAACATTTTCATGATCAACGGCCAACCATTTACCAGTTCTGGCCAATCCAGTCTGTATTTCATCAGCAATAAACAGGACCTATTGCAAAACAACACAACATTGTCACTTTCATTTCCACAGGGAAAACTACAATCATTACATTACTTCCCCCTCCCCACAAATGTGTAGTTCTGTTCTGCCCTCTCTTGTGAAAATGTTTAATCATCCACATAATTTTAAGAACATCTTATGAAAATCCTGTAAACATCCCAACTGTTTCCTACGTTGGGCCACTTCCTCCTCTAGAGCCCCATCCACTGCTCTATAGAAGTGGAAAGGTATTTATGTAAACTCGAGGGGTTCATAGCACTTTTCTGGCTATAGCTACCTTCGGAGATAAATTAATTCACTTAGTTACCCCATAAACTTTCATCAAACATTCTATGTGACCGGAATTATCAATGACAAACAAAACTCACCAGTATTAGCTTTATTGGGAGAGAGGAGGGAAGAGTTCATAACTTTTGCAAAGAGGGACACAGCACAGGGTTTGAGAGTGATTAAGAATGCCATGATCCCGGAGAAGACAGGAGGTAAACACCATGGGGCCAGGAGGTCTATGACTCCACTCACAGCCCACAGTCTGGCTTTAGCCCAGGGACTAAAATGTCATAGATTCCTATGCAGGTTTCTAAGCAGAGAGAGCTTGTGAGCTCTAGGAATGATGTCGACCTCTAGAGGAAAGGTGATTTAATCTCTACTTATCCAATGAACAAAATTCAAAAAGATGAAGGATGTCAGGCCTGTTGAGCTTCATCACAAATAGCTAAGATAAACTGAGCATGGAAGCACATGCCTGTAATCCCAGCATTCAGGAAGCTGAGGCAGGAGGATCCTCATAAATTCAAGGCCAGCTTGGGCTACTTGATGAGTTCAAGGCTAGCCTGAACTACACAGTGAGACCCTGTCTCAAAAATTTAAAAATAATTAAGGTGGACAACCTTATGCTTTGTACAGAGTTCTCGAACTCCTACTAGGTACCCTGGATCTGGAACAACCACACCCGCTTCACCCTGAATTGGTTCTACCATGAAGGCGGCAACATTTGGATCCTGAAGAGCACGCTACAAAAGAAACAAATAGGTTTTAATAATTTCCTTTCTATGTTATTTGGAAATCTGAAATTATATACTGCACATATTTTTCTGTTAAGTACAAAAATAACTAACATTTATACTTCACAAATTTAACATTTGTCACTGACATTCAATTCCTAGAAATTCCAAATACTTTAGGTTTAAATAACACAATCCACTAGATATGGTGGTGCGTGCCTATAATCCTAGCACTCTGGGAGACTAAGGCAAAAGGATCACAAGTTCAAACCCAGCCTGGGAAACTTAGTGAGATCCTGTCTCAGAATAAAAATTTTTTTTTTTTTTACCGGGGATCGAACTCGGCACCTTGAGCTTGCAAGGCAGGCGATGGAACCACTGAGCTAAATCCCTGGGCCAAAATA